CCATACTGTTTTGATTACTATAGTTTTCTGTAGTATAGTTTGAAATTTGGGAGCATGATGCCTCCAGCTTTGTTCTTCTTTCTCAAGATTACTTTGGCTATTGGGGGTCTTCTGTGGTTTCATACAAATTTTAGGATTGTTTGTTCTATTTCTGTAAAAAATGCTATTGGAATTTTGATAGGGATTGCATTGAATCTATAGATTGTTTGGGGTAATATGGACATTTTAACAATATTAATTCTTCCAATCCATGAGCCCAGAATATCTTTCCGTTTATTTGTGTCTTCAGTTTTTTCATTAATGTCTCATAGTTTTGTTTTGGTTTTTTTTTTGTGAGGAAGAGCAGCCCTGAGCTAACACCTGATGCCAATCCTCCTCTTTTTTGCCAAGGAAGATCGGCCCTGAGCTAACATCCGTGCCAGTCTCCCTGTACTTTATATGGGACGCCACCACAGCATGGCTTGACAAGCAGTGCCTCAGTGCACGCTGGGGATCTGAACCTGCGAACCCTCCGGCCGCCACAGCGGAGTGCACGTGCTTAACTGCTGCACAACTGGGCCAGGCCCTAATGTCTCATAGTTTTCAGTGTACAAGTCTTTCATCTTCTTGGTTAAATTTATTCCTAGGTATTTTATTCTTTTTGATGCAATTGTAAATGGGATTGTTTTCTTGATTTCTCTTTCTGCTAGTTCATTATTATTTATTTATTTTTGCTGAGGAAGATTCACCCTGAGCTAACATCTGTGCCAGTCTTCCTCTATTTTGTATGTGGGATGCCACCACAACGTGGCTGCCGACAAGTGCTGTAGGTCTGCGCCCAGGAACCGAACCCAGGCCACTGAAGCAGAGAGTGCGGAACTTAATCACTAGGCCACGGGGCCGGCCCCTCTGCTAGTTCATTATTAGTGAATAGAAACGCAACAGATTTTTGTATATTTTGTGTTCTGCAACTTTACTAAATTTGTTTTATTAGTTGTAAGAGTTTTACAGTGGAGTCTTTAGAGTTTTCTCTATATAATATGTATATAATATATATATAATACTGTATAACATATATAATATAACAACAGCGACAGTTTTACTTCTTCCTTTCTAATAGGGAATAATTTCCTTCCTTCCTCCCTTTCTTTTATCTCTTTTTCTTGCCTAATTGCTCTGGCTAGGACTTCTAGTACTGTGTTGAGTAAAAGTGGCACGAGTGGGCATCCTTGTCTTGTTCCTGATCTTAGGGGAAAAGCTTTCAGATTTTGAGTAGGATGTTTGCTGTGGACTGAACTTTTACAGGCCACAACACCAAAGTACTTTTTATTCTCCAGTTTCTCAAAAACTATTTTTCTGAAAACTACCTCTAACATTTAAAAAGCTTTCCTTTCCCCTAGGTCACTTTGACCATTTGTGGGTAGCATGGAATTCACATAGATAATTTCTTCTCAGTGTAGGCATCAGCATGTCTGAAACCTGTATTTACACATCTGTGAGGTCACATTTTTGGTGAATAGTGGAAAACAGGATATGGTATAAATCACAGTATACACAGTATAGTAGGATATATTATTTTGGACACAATAACAGATTTCTTTAACATGCCACAGCTTGAAGGCAGTACTCCTGAAGAAAATGCAGAATTTTAAAAAAATTTATAAAATCAGGGGCCGGCCCTGTGGCGCAAGCGGTTAAGTGCGCGCGCTCCACTACGGCGGCCCGGGGTTCGCCGGTTTGGATCCCGGGTGTGCGCTGACGCACTGCTTGGCAGGCCATGCTGTGGCGGCGTCCCATATAAAGTGGAGGAAGATGGGCACGGATGTTAGCCCAGGGCCAGTCTTCCTCAGCAAAAAAAAAAACAAAAGAAAAAAAAGAGGAGGATTGGCAGATGTTAGCACAGGGCTGATCTTCCTCACCAAAAAAAAAAAATTTATAAAATCAACTGATGTTCATTGAGGAAATTTAGAAAATACAGAAATCTAAAAAGGAAAAAGTCATCCATAACTCCATAAAGATCACTATTAACATTTTGGCATATTTTCTTATAGTACTTTTTCTGAGTGGAGATAACTTTTGCAGTTTCTGTTTTACTTTTAACATTTTAGCAAAATTATTTTCCTATGTTACTACAAATTCTTTTAAATATTTTAAGTTAACTCTTAATATCTAATTACGTAGATAATTTGCTTAACCACTCCCTTATATGTGCGTTTAGGTTATTTCCACTTTTTGATTATTATCGAGAGTGAATTTGTCTTTTGCATAACCCCCCCCCCCGAGTGTGTGTGTGTGTGTGTGATTGTATTTCTGTTATATTTTGTTAGGTTCCCAGAAGTAGGATCCTTTAAGACAGGGATAGGAATAAATTTAAGTCTCTTGATGCATGTTACCAGGTGGCTCTCCGAAGGCTAGTACCCATTTACCTTAATGACGGGAGGGTACTTTTTAGCCATCCACTTATTTGTACGTTTGCTCCTGAGGAAAGTTTGAGGGGCTGAGTTGAAGTCTGCTGTGCCCCGTCGTGGGGCTCTGTCCTCCGGCCCAGCGCTGCTGGTGGGCAGGTCTCCTGCTTCACACTGGAAGCGTCCTTGCTCTTCTTGCTTCTAGATCCCTAGCTTGATTGACCGGATGCTCGTGTCATCCAACACGAAGACTGGGGCTGCAGGAGCTGAGGCCCTGTCCCTCCTGCTGAAGAGGCCCTGGGACCCCGCTGTGGGGGTGCTTTCTCACAACAAACCAGTAAGTGGGACGGCCCAGGACTTAACTACGGCCCGTGACATTTTTAGAATCCAGTCTCGGAACCTTGGCCGGAGGATAATCAATGGCTTCTTTAACTTTTCTCATTAATAACTGGTGGTGTGTAGTGCTTAACATAGTTTCATAAGCGAATCAGCACTGGTTGGGTTAAGAAGGGTATTGGGATACTTGGGATTTTGTGGAGGAGCACGTCTCACTCACTGATTCTCTGGTGGGGTCTTTCTCCTTAGAGCAAACTCCCTGGCTCTCCTCTCATTCTCATTGCCCCCTCCGGGCCCTCCAGTTCCGTGTTCCCCACCTCACGCCGCCACCGTTTCTGGCAGTCTCAGCTGTCCTGCTTGGGCAAGGTATGTGTGGGGCAAGACGAGCCCTCTCCTGGGTGGGGATAGAGTCTTGGAGGATGGAGCAGACAGAATGCAGGAGGGGCTCAAAGTGGATGAATGTAAACGTGGAGCGTCCCTCTGTTCTCTCTTTGTTTGGAATTGGATGGTGCTTATCCAGAGTTGAAGGGATTTCGGGTAGGTTAAGCAGAATTGAGAGAAGATTTGAAACTTGCCTCTGGTGGCGCGGTTGCCACTTTCTTTCGTTTAGGTCATCCCTGTAGCCACGCATCTGCCGAACAATGGTTGTGGGGTAGGAGTTCTGCAGTGTCTTGAGCATATGATCGGGGCAGTGAGAAGCAAAGTGCTCGAGGTGAGAATGCCCCCGTTTCAGTTCACTGCGGCACATCCAGCATTCTGGGCTTGATCTGTCCCCATCTGTGGCCTCCTGTCTTATTTCTTCTTTCTCTTCCCACAAAGATTCACAGCCATTTCCCCCACAAGCCCGTTACCTTGATTGGCTGGAACACAGGAGCTTTGGTGGCCTGTCACGTAAGTGATTCTCGTCTTATGTGGAGGCTTTCCTGGGACGGAGTACTGCTACTGCGACTACGAAGGCTACCATGGGGGTCTTTTTTATCTTTCAGGCACTGCGGTGCTTTATCTGCACGATTGCATTGAAACTGTAGAAGACAAACTTTGTTTTTTGACTTTATTGTGGAAAATTTTAAGCAGAAACTTAAAGGGAGAATAGACTAGTATAGTAAACCCCTTGGGCCCCTCACCCAGCTTTACCAGTGATCAGCTCACAGCTACCCCTGTCTCCTTTCTCCTCCAGTTGTTTTAAAGAAAATCCCAAGTATCGTATCATTTCATTTATATATATTTCAGCATGTATCTCTGAAAAAAAATTCCTTTTTCTCCGAAACATAGGTACTATTCTCCCACCTAAAAGAACAAAGCAGAACAATAATTCCAGCAGGCAAAAGTTTTAATAGCTCTGGAATTTGATGTTGTGTTCGTGTTCTGTCCCTTGCCAAGACATCAAGGAACCTTTTCTTTATTATTTTATATACATTTGTATGTAAGTTAGTTTGCATAAGTGTCTCTGACCTGTCCAAATCCCCAGTTCTCAAGTGGATCAAATAGGTGAGGTCTGTGCTGCTTCATGTGGTCTGTCAAGTATGACATCTAAGATCATCCGAGGAAGAAGGCTATCTCCTCATACTCCTTGGTCCCAGGGGTGGCAGAACTCAGTCAGCGACTGCTCTAAGACCTTTGAGCAGTCTGGGAGCTATCCATTAAATTCAAAAGGGAGAGACTGTCTTTACTTAAGGGAGAAGAGCAACATTTGTGTTCTCCTGATTGCATTTGCTGTTGGTGGAGGGGAAAGTGAGCAGGAGTGCTCTAGTCTAGGGAATTGACAGGACAGAAGTATTAACCCTCCCATCCTATGGTTCAGCCCCCTGCTAGGGTACTCTCAGGGCCCCAGTTCTCTAGGTGGTGGCTGCTTGTGGAATGGTACATCTTGTGTTCTGTGCTCTTACTGCTGCCGCTGTGGCTGGTGCCCCTGGGGTTAGGACAGGGAACTAGGGGATGGGACTGGCTGCTAGGTTTGGACCACTCCTGGATTCTGGGTAGGATGGAGCTGCAGTGAAGTCAGTTGACCTTGAGACAAACCATTTCATTATTTCTAGGTGTCAGTGATGGAGTACGTCACTGCGGTTGTCTGCCTTGGGTTTCCCCTGCTTACCGTGGATGGCCCCAGAGGGGTAAGCACAGGGTGCCCCTGATTGCTGGGTCCCTGGCAGGTGAGAGTGAGGGACTGCATGCCTCGACCAAGCTTGCGCTCGGTGACTGCAGTTGCCTAGCTGACTCCTGAGCGGACTTGCCAAGTCAGTACTCAGTGAAAATGAGCTGGCCAATTGTGAAACCTGTACCTGTTTTAGGATGTGGATGATCCCCTCTTGGATATGAAGACTCCAGTCCTCTTTGTCATTGGTCAGAATTCCCTGCAGTGTCACCCTGAAGCCATGGAGGACTTCCGGGAGAAGATTCGGGCTGAGAACAGCTTGGTAGTGGTTGGGGGAGCTGACGATAACCTAAGGTGAGTAGCTTTCCCCAGACCTGCAAGAGAGCCATGTTTCCGTGCTGGAGAGATGCCTGTAAGGGGGTGATGATGTAGCTATAGACTGATCTGGTTCAGTGGAAAGGGGATATTAAAAAACATTTTAACTAATTCAGATTTATAAAAAGTTTAAAAAATAGTACAAAAAATTCCCGTATAGCCTTAACCTGGATTTCCCAAATGTGTTAACATCTTACATAACCACAGTAGAATTATCAAAATCAGGAAATTAACATTGATACGATACTGTTATCTAATCTACAGACTCAGAGTTTGTCAGTTGTCTCACTAATGTCCTTCTGGACCAGGATCCTATGCAGGATCAGCCGCTGCTGTCAGTTGCTGTGTCTCCTCAGTCTCCTTTAATTTGATACTGTTCCTCACTCTGTCTTTGTCTTTCATGGCCCTGACACTTTGAAGACTTCTGGCCAGTTATTTTGTAGGCTATCCCTCCATTTAGGTTTTTGACATTTTTTATGATGAGGTTGAGTTGAGAATACGCATTTTTGGTAGGAATGCCACAGAGGTGATGCGCCTTTCGTGCACCCCCACGGGGTGCATGATGTCGATGCGTCTTGTCACTGGTGATGTTCACCTTGATCACACGGTTAAGGTAGCATCTGCTGGGTTTCTCCACTGTAAAGGTACTGTTTTTACCTTAGTAATTAGTAGTTATCTTGTGGGGAGAAGATGCTTTGAGACTCCGTAAATATAGTCTTTGTCATCGTGCTTTTCCTGGAGTTGGCATTTCTGTATATTTTGTTCCTTACTGAGGATGAATGTGAACATAGATTTTATTTGTATTAAGCATCCTTTTGTATATTTTGGAGTGTAAACAGTCAAAGTTTGGAAGGGGTTTTAAAAAGGCACCTTTAGTCATTGAGATGGCCGTTCTTCCCTTACAAGGCTGGCTGCCTGTAGGGCTTTTAGTTATGTTGTCATGAAATGTACTGAAAAAGAAGTTGTGTCATTTATTGGGCCTCTTTCTTTTTATGTGCTCAATCTTAGAGATTAATTTCATTTGTGTGCTCTAACTAGAGAGCTTAAAACAAGTACCTGCTCCCACTTGTCTTGTCAGTTTCCTACCCAAAGATGTTTTGGAGAAGTCCTTCTGGCCTTTGTCATTCTGTAGCTTCTTGTGGACCTAGTATCTGATTCTTTGATACTTAAGGCAATGTTTTCTTGTAAATACATGGTTTTTCTTGGTAATTCTGACAGGAGAATAGATTGTATGTGTTGAGTTGCTGTGAGGGAGTAAGAGAGGTAGGAATGTCCTTAGTGAGAATTATAGTGCGAGTCTGCTTTTGAGACACATTTGCATGGTGCCAAGAGCATTGGACTGAGAATTGGGAGACCTCAATTTAGTCTTGGCTGCTTTGCTAAGAAGCTTGAGTAAACTGCTTAACTTCTGGGATTCACTGTCCTCATCTGTAAAATGAGGGTGTTAGACAAGGTCAGAAGCCAACAATCAGTCAGTTGGGGGTCTCTGAGTTTTGAGGCTCAGAATGTCACTTGGTGCCCTGTTTCTCTTTGCTGAGACCCCCAGTCAGAAGCCAGGGGTTATAAGGCTTAGCTTTCAAAGAGGGGAATGTAGCCGGCTGTGGTCATTTTCTCTTATTCCTTTAGAACTATGCTGTGACCACCTTTCCTCCCCTCCTACTAATCTTACTTCAGCAGCACCAGTAATCCCAGGGTTTGGGCCTCTGTTGGAGGACGTCTAGATGAAGTCTTAGCAATTGGATAGAGTTTATCTGTGAAGCCACAGGTATAGGACTTCTGGGGTGTACAGTCCCAGGCCCTTTCCACGTGTTCTTTGGTTCTTTACATACGTTATTTTGTGTAATCCCCACAACTCCGTGAGTGAGGTGTCATGATTCCCCATTTTGCAGATGTGGAAACTGAGGTTCAGATAGGTTGTGATAGATGCCTGAGGGCTACTGTAGTCTTCCTTCCTGGGCCTAGAAAATGACCAACACAGAAGAGAAATCCATTCTTATTACCATATGATGCCATGGAATGTTTAGAAAGTAAAAATTTCCTCCTTTTTGTCTCTTAGAATAAGCAAAGCAAAGAAGAAATCAGAAGGGTTGACTCAGAGCATGGTGGACAGATGTATTCAGGTACACACTTGCTTTATGTGTTTTTCTTGGCTAGGCTTGCCTTTTTTTTTTTT